CCCCGCCTCTCTTTTCTCTCTCCTCCCTCATGCCGGCTTCTTTTTCCGCCTTTCTCTTCTCTCACATCCTTGGGACTGTGATACCATTAACCGTACATTACCAAATCTGACTCCTGCCTCTTTGCCCTGAATCTCCACTCTTCCTCTCACTGCCACGACCCCACCCCCACTTGGTCCACAGCTTTTTCTTCACTTTCTTAGTTTACCCCTTTCTCTGCTTTCCGTCTTCTCCCTCTTTCCCTCTGTCTTCACCCTCAGCTCCTTTGCCCATCTCTGTGTCCCACCTCTCCCCCTCTACTTCCTCTCCGCCCACCCCCAGTCTCACCCCCAGGGCCTCTGGAGCCTCTCCTTCCTGTTCTCTGGCCCCAGCGCTCCGCACCCTTACCTCAACGCGGTCATGGCCACCATCCCAGACTGGAAGCTACAGCTGCTAGCCCGGCGACGGCAGGAGGAGGCAGCCCTTCGTGGCCGGGAGAAGGCAGAGCGGGAGCGTCTGTCCCAGATGCCAGCCTGGAAGCGGGGGCTCCTGGAGCGCCGCCGGGCCAAGCTTGGTCTGTCTCCTGGGGAGCCTAGCCCTACACCTGGGACTACAGAGGCTGGACCTCCAGACCCAGACGAGTCGGCTGTCCTCCTAGAGGCCATTGGGCCAGTGCACCAGAACCGATTCATTCGGCAGGAGCGCCAGCAGCAGCAGCAGCAGCAGCAGCAGCAGCAGCAGCAGCAGCAGCGTAATGAAGAACTACTTGCAGAAAGAAGGCCCGGGACTTTGGAGGCCAGGGAGCAGAGACCCAGCCCTGGGGAGATGCGGGATCAGAGCCCCAAGGGAAGAGAGTCAAGAGAAGATCGGCTCAGTCCCAGAGAGGCCAGAGAGAAGAGGATAGGGGGAGCCCGAGAGTCGAGCCCCAGGCCTTCAGAGGCTTGGGACTGGAGGCAGAGCCCAGGAGAGGCTGGAGACAAGAGCTCCAGACTGTCGGAAGCGCGGAAATGGAGGCTGAGCCCGGGAGAAACTCCAGAGTGGAGTCTGAGACTGGCAGAGCCTGGAGAACAAAGCCCGAGGAGAAAAGAGGTGGTGGAAAGTAGACTGAGCCCAGCAGAGTCTGACAACCAGAAGATGGGCCTGACAGAGGCCCATAAATGGAGGCCCGACTCTGGAGAGTCTCAGGAACAGAGTTTGGTACAACTGGAAATATCAGAGTGGAGGCTGAGCTTAGAAAAAAGAAAAGACTGCTCAGAGGAATGTGGGAGAAAAGAAGACAGGCCAATTCCAACGCTGGCCTCAGAAGAGATTACAGAGATGTCAGAGACCCTGAGTAGGGAGGCTCCAGACAGCAGCTCTGGAGAAGTGGAGGCAGCAGAACAAAGGCGTAGCCCTGTGCAGGATGGTGAGAGGGGACTGAGGCTGACAGAAGGATGGAAATGGACCCTGAATTCTGGGAAGGTTCGAGAATGGACACCCAGGGACACAGAGACTCAAATTCAGAAACCAGTCCCCCCAGAGTCTGCTGAGAAGTATCTGGGGCCTTTTGGTACAGAGGCTGGAGAAGGCGAGGCTGAGAAGGAGAAGGCGGGGGCTCTGGGCAGGCCTTTGAGAACCCTGCAGAACTGCAGCTCTGTGCCCTCCCCCTTCCCACCAGAGGACGCTGGGACTGGAGGCTCTAGAGGGCAGGAAGAGGAAGCAGTGCAACGCCGGCCCCCACCAGCAGCCCCTCTGTCTCCCCCACCCCCAGCCCCACCTGCCCCCCAGTCCCCTGGGGATCCCCTCATGAACCGACTGTTCTATGGGGTGAAGGCAGGGCCAGGGGTGGGGGCCCCTCGCCGCAGTGGACACACCTTCACAGTCAACCCCCGGCGGTCCCTGCCCCCTGCAGCCCCCACCACTCCTCCCGCCACCCCAGCCACAGCTGATGTTGCAGTCCCCGGAGCTGGGAAGAAGCGGTACCCAACTGCTGAGGAGATCTTGGTTCTGGGGGGCTACCTCCGTCTCAGCCGCAGCTGCCTTGTCAAGGGGTCCCCTGAAAGGCATCACAAACAGGTAGGGAGCAGCTAAGCCAGCTTTCTTTAGAAGCCTGCTCATCGGTTCTTTCTGTACTCCTTTCTTTTTTATATCCCTATGTTCTGGTCTTTCTCTATTCTTTCGTGCTAATTCCTGCCACAACCCTTCCTCCTCTGCACACACACCCTTTCTTCTTGTTGTCCTCCTTTTCCATTCATTTCCAAGCCCAAGAATCCTGCCCTAAATCAAGTGCTGTCTCTGGGTGTGTCTCTCTCAGGGTGTGCCCAGGCTGCTCACTCTTCATTCCCTCAGGCTCTGAGTCCCTCCCTGCCCCCCATTTCTTTCCTTCCTTTCCTCTGAGTCTGGGACACAACCCGTCTGGTGGAGACCTGAGCTGAGGCTACAGCCTAGAATCTATGAGAGCAGGGTCCTCAGATTGAAAGCACACACAGCCTCCCAGGGGAGGGAATGTGGGGCCAGGAAGCCTGAAGAGGCACAGGGGGGTGCCTTTGGGGTTCTAGGGGAAAATGGCAGGGAGAAGTGAGTGGAGGAAGTTCTCAGTCCCAAGGCAGAGGGGGCAGAGCCAGTGAGGGGACTACTGGGATGAGGGTGGGGGAATGGCATAAGGCTGGCCAAAGAGAAGACTTTTGAACCCCAAGTCTGCTCCATGGGAGAGGCACACACAGAAGCCATTTGAAGTGGGTGACCTCAGGGTTGCACACCCCCAGCTGGGCCACTGCTTTAAACAGTGCTCCCTTCTCTCTTGGGACAAGAAAAGCCTTCTCTTCTTCCAAAATACCCCCACCCCTCACTCCCTTTCTTCCTTCCTCCCTGGGCTTCCCCTCCCTCCCCAGAACTGGCTCAGCAGTTGGTTTTCCCCTCTCTTCCTGTTGCCCTGGCCTCTCCCTCCCTTTGGGGTAGCAAAAGAGAGAAGTGAATTTGGAGACACTGAGCTGAGAGCAGGGAATACAATGGGAGTTGGGGACAGGGATGGGGGCTGAGGCCAGCAGAGGGTTAGAGGTTAAACTGGAAAAAGGACAAAGTGCAGGAAGTGGGAGCAGCCAGGCTTCTTGCTGTGGCTTCAGCCCAACCCCTTCCTTACACACCAATCAGTTTCCAGCTTGAAAATATCTAAGGAAAGAGAGGTCCCTGCACCTAACACATCTCCCCAGAGACTGGGAAGCCCTTCATAGTCTCCAGTTGTCATCTCACATGACGTCCTCAGATTTGTCTTGTGTGTGTGCGCGCGCACGCGTGTGCTTTGTCAGTGGGAAACCACAGGGACCAAAGACCTAGATTAAGCTTGCGGGACACTTGATCCCCCAGTTCATCCTCATGTGCAGCTCAAGCTCCCCTCCCTGAGCCATGGTACCTGAGTCTATCCTGAGCACTCTGACTGCTACCCGCCCCTTCCCCTTTGGGCTGGACAGATGTTAGGAGGTAGGCCAGGAACTGCCAGAGTGAGGTGTTCAGACAAGTCACTTCCTATAGAGGTTGGCCTGTGCCTTTGGGGAGGAAGAGCAGAGGGAGGCATGAAATTCAGGGCCCAAAGCTGGGGACCATGTGAGTGCAGGACAGGACCTGTGATGGTGACCATACCTAGGTTAGGGAGCAGGGAAGCCGGAAGCAGATCACCCAAACAGGAAGCCTGGGGTGGGGGCCGGAAGGCTGGTGGGGCTGAGTGGGGAACCGCTGGGCCCTAGGCCTGCCAGAACTGCTCAGGATGTGGTGAGAGAATGAGGAAGCCATGGCTGCTCTAGGGGTGGGGGTGGAGAGAAGCAGCACAGAGTTTTCTAGACCCAGACACCTCCCCCTCCACCCTGTCTCAGGCCTTCTTCCCTCTCTCTGCACCCTGCTCAGCAGGGACTGACATGCTTGTTCCAGCTCTGACCCAATCCACTTGCTCTGGGACCAGAGGACTGCCCCCCCACCCCCTTCCCGAAATAACTCTTGTTTGGAAGCTAAGGCCATCAAATGCATCCTTGCCATGGGAGAGAAATCCCAGCCCTGTCTTGTGGCTGGTGCCCTTCCCCAGAGGCCCTTCTAACTGAGAGATGGGCCCCTCCCCTCTTTGGCCCCCTTGTGACTTTATATAGCTGATGGGAGAGGAGCAAGTGAGTCACACCCCTCTGTACTCCCCCCCCCCCCAAACTCCCATGGAGGCTGTGCATTCCTGAGAAGCCCAGTCAGAAGTTGGCTGGGGGGGGGGGGTGTGAGCAGAGAAGCAGGATTGGAGAAGAGAGACAAACATGATTGAGAACAAATAAAATGAATCATTTTTCAGAGTGGATAACAAACCATGGAGCTTGTTATCCCAAAAGGGAATGTGAAAAGAAAACAAATGGGTTCCCAGAAGTTTGGGTAAATCTGTCAGTAACAGAACCAGAACTGGTCCTTCTGAAGAATTGGGATATAAGGGATCTGGTTGCTGTCATGCATTTCTACCAGCAGTTCCACAGATAGACTGTGTACCTTCCACACTGGTCCCCAGTGTTGGTTGTCTGTGGGGACCACACCTGAGGTCTGAACCAACTCTTCCTTACTCACCATAGCAACTTTCATGCTCCTGTGGACAGTGGACACAGAATAACAAGTAAATTCTCTGGTAGATTAGGAGGTGGTAAATGATTATGGAAAAAAATTACAACAGGGTAAGTGGAACGTAGACAGCAAGAAAGTTGGGGGAGTGAATATGAACTTTAAATAGGGTGACTGGGAGAGAGGGAGCTATGGGGGTATTTGAGGGAACAGTGTTCCAGGCAGAAGGAATAGCCAGTGCAAAGGCCTTAAGATTGGAGTGCCCCTGTTGGCCTTAGAGGAACTGTGACCAGGGTGGCTGCAGTGGGAGCAGATAGTTGCCTGAGAAGTGGGGGGTAGGGAGAAGTGGTACAGTGGGAGTACCCTGTGGGCCTTAGTCAGGCTCTGGCTTTTCCTCCCAGTGAAATGGGGAGTCAATGCTGGGTTTGGAGCCAAGGAGTCTCTGAGTTCCAGCTTCCCATGGAACCCATGTTGCACATTCTGTACAGCCCTTAGCATCCACTTGTCCAGCCACCCTCCCGGTTTCTCTTTTCTCACACCCCAGTCCATGTGGAGACTCAAGGATGCAGGGCCCAAGCCCCAAGTTTCCCAAACAGGTCTTCTGGGAAGACCTGAATAGATAGTCTGGACCTTTCCAAGTAGTTCACACAGAATCCTCCTGTTTGTCTCCTTAATCACTTTGGCTCCCAGAGTTAATCCCACTCTGCCCCTGCCCCTGAGCTTCTTAAAAGGGCAAAGGGGAAGAGTAGAAAGGGAGTGAGAACATCTGGGGCTCACCTGCTCTTGGGACATTGTGTTTGTGGAGGATTTCTGTCCCCTCCAGGTCCCCTCTGGCTTTTTGCCTGTGTCTCTGCATGTTTCTCCTGTTGCGCTTTCCACCCCAACCTGTGTTTGCATGGACTTTCCTCTCTGCCCCTGACGCCTCACCTAGCTTCTCTTGCAGGGACTCAAGGGCCCATCTCCTCTCTGTGTTAGGGGAGAGTCTTGTTTCCTCTGGGCTTTTCAGTAGAGTCTCTTCTTCCCTCCCAGGCCCCAGCCCCACTTTGTTGTGAGTTCATTCCAGCTGTAGGAGAGGAGTGAGGGGGGGAGCAGGAGGGCACAGGTGTCCAGGGTTTCTCAGGAACAGCCAAGGGTCTGAGGATGTGGAAACCAAAGTGCTCTTCCTTGCTTTTGCCTGGGACTCCCTCTAGCCACCTATTTCCTGCCAGCTCAAACTTCCTACCTCTGGGAAGCCTTCTTGATTGCCCTCAAGGTACCCAAAGATTCGGTTCTTTTTACCCTTCTGCCACCCACAGTCTAAAGAGTAGGAAGCTGGGTCCTGTATTACTCGCTTCTGCACCTGTGTGAAAGTTCAGGCAAAAGTCTGATGTTTTGGAAATGATATGACAGAAGAAGGGAAATCTGGGATTGGAGAGCCTATATCAAAAGGAAAACTGGGTGGGATGCCTGGGTGGCTCAGTCGGTTAAGTGTTGGACTCTTGGTTTTGGCTCAGGTCATGGTCTCACAGTTGGTGAGTTCAAGCCCCCTCACGGCTAGCTCCATGCTGACAGCAAGGAGCCTGCTTGGGGTTCTCT